CAAAGTTGTATTTCGGTGGGCCCAATTAAAAAAAATTAATAAAAGCGTTGATCAACGGTGGAGATCGGACGACGCATGCATCTTTGCATACGTCATCTGTATGGAATAATTTTTTGTGGATATCACATGTTTATATCGTCATGCATGTTATTGGCAGGCGACGTAGCATCTGGTGGTTAGACGTCCGGACGTGCGATATCCGGATGAAATATATTTTCCTAAATATGAGGGGCCAGAATCCTATTTAGGTTCGATTTATTGGGATAATTATTAGTTTGAAATCAGCTCTAGTTTTACATAGACTGTAATGAGTCTTCATGCTCAGCTCACAATAATAAAGTTTTGGGACGGCAGTCTACATTAAAGATTTTGTCATATTTCTATGGTGAATTTGAGGTTAGAGGATAGATGATAGAATTGTAGAAGATATAGTAGAGTTGATGGTGGTGGAGAGGTTTTTATGCCAACGAGAAATTGTGCGATGAGCGGCCAACGTAGAAATTGTGGGTTAGGGCTTGTTTGTCCAGCTACAGTGGGAGGAGGGTTGAATGCTGAGCCATTGAGAAAGACCTTGAAGAGTTTGTAAATTTGGGATTTCCAGGTTAGCTGGTTTTCAACTATGAGTTGAATATTGGCAATGGCTTTGATGTTGTTGAACATAAACCTTAGGAGGACAAAATGTAATTGCATGCCATGTCCTGAGAAGCAAGATTGGCCTCTTGGTTTGTGTAGTAAGAGGTTTCCAACATTTTGGGTGGGAAAAGGGATGGAAGGAGATAGAGAAGGGAAAAGCTTTAGGGATTTGGGGAAGAACCTAGTAGCTATGATGCCATGATACGTTTTGGATTACAACTCTTTATGAGATATAGCCCTATTATGTAGAAACCGAAACAACCAGCTACAGGAAAAAATGTGAAATACAGAAAATTAAAATTACAGGCTTTGTATCTTGTATATATAGGAGTTTTTCGAAATTTTATAGAGATAAATTAGTGCTGCTAAAGCTTTCGGTTGGTAGCAGGGAGTATTGGAGAAATTTTTTTTTCTTTTTGCCTAATAGTGTAGGGTTTTTAAATATGACACATATAAGAAAAGATAGAATTATTAAAATTGGTTTATCATACTAAAATATGAATGAGTGAATTTTAATACTTATCCTACTTAAAACATGCATAATGTTATTATCCAAGTGAAAATGAGTTACTTTAATGGTTTTCTTGGAGATACCTCCAAATGGAAAAAAAATGAACTTTTAATGAATTCGATTATTTAAAATATAGATCTAAGGTGTATAGACAATTTTATATTTGAGTACACACAAATTAGGAAATTATAATTTTGGCCTAAGCAAGGGTGGCTAGCTTGAGAAAAAAAGGTTATATTGTATCATAGAAAAAAGTGATTCAACTGGTCTCAAAAGAATGTTCATGCTTATTACACAATTAAAAATATTTAAAAGGAGGTTCAATCATTTTGAATGCCATCTTTGATTGAGTTCCATAAGAGTTCTTAGTCATGTGAAAATGTAGGCATGACCAATGATGGTGAAAATTTGAATGCAATGGACATGATAATCCATACCAAAAAGGAACATATACCTCAAAATTGATAGGAATGTAAAGTGAAAGTAGTCCATATATGTCAATGACATGACTTCCCCAAATGTTATGACATGACTTCCCCAAATGTTATGTATGGTTATTAGAGAGCAAACTATGTGTTGGAGATATAAATGAGCATTAATACAATGTACAAACTTTGATTTTGATAGATCACACCATTTTTCTCTATTTGAAAGGAGTTATAAGGTTTAGGAGTATGGTATATATATGCACACAAGATTACCCTAATTACTGCTAAACCAAAATAAATTTAATTGATAGGACCGAATGGATTTGTAGATAAATGAGCATTAATGCTTTGTACGAAACTTGATTTAGATAGATCAAACCTATGTTCCCCTATTTGAAAGGAGTTACAAGGTCTACGAATATGGTATATATATATGCACATAACATCACCTTAATTACTACTAAAGCAATAAAAATTTAATTGATATGACCAAATGAGTCTGTAGTTATCCCAAAGTAAATCCTAATCAGTTAAATTAAGTTTTGTTAGAAGATTGATCTGGATGAAATAATAGAGAATAACATGTGTTTACGTGTATCATATGTGGGTTCAAATAGCTTTGCCTTTGTGAATATTGGAGTTTATACGTCTAAATTTTTATGAATATTTGTGAAGAAAAATATGTGGCCAATATTCTTAATCTATACAACAAAAATATAATATATATTATCCACCAATTGGAGAAATTTTTTTTTATATACATTTAGTTAAGTAATCAAACTTTGTTTTTCCCTAATTTAGGATAATTTCAAATTTCTTTCAAATTATCATGCATCACTTGAACAAAAACTGGCAAACTTTATTTTTTATTTTTTATTTTAAATCACAATCATATCACCATTTCAGTTGTCACTTTATAAAAATAATAGTGTTAAATCAAAATTTGTCGTAAAATCACATACAAGTGATGAAACACGTGTAAATAAAAGAGAGATTTAGTGAGAAAAGAAAATAGTTAGAGGAGGTACGACCAAAATTGCTTAATAGAGTCAAACGAGAGGGATCCACTTTCAATTGAAAGTAGATAGAACTTGGATGATATGCATGTAAATTCTTCTAAAATTTGTCGTAGGGCTCGTGTGGCTCTACCCGCGGGTCTCACAACAATTTAATTAATATTATATTATTAATTATTATATATGTAAACATATAAGAAATTGGTGGTTTCATGAGTGTGCTTATGCCTGAGCAATGATCAAAGAAACGGATGATATCTCACCGTGAGATGTTAGGAATCATATGGATTAAACATTTTATTTGTTCAAATTAGCTTTGTGTGTAAGTAAGTTTCCAAATAAAGTCTCGTGGCTCCCGCTTGACGACAGTCCTACCTCCATTGCCCTATCTGTCCTCCTTCATAAGCATTGTGAAGGTTATCCCTTATGTTTAATTGTATAAAAGCATATGAGAAGTGCACAAATAATATTCACATGGTGGCATATTTTGTACATGTCTTGATAAAAAAATTAAATTAAAAATCGAGTAAGCTTATTAAAAAATTAAACGAGTCGAACACACGCTAATTCAGACAAATGAGCTCAAATTGAACATAACACGAATTGGTTGTTCACTAGCTATTTCCAATAGGAGTGGAACATGAACAATAAAAAATATAACGAGTCGAACATGACTCAAGCTCGGCTCATTTGCACCCTAAGATGTTGCGTTGATTTTAATAGTCTAGAGTCTAGAATTAAAATATCACTAACAATTTTTTTTTCTTTAATTTATATTTTTTATGGGATAATTGCATACAAAATATTAGAAACATTGCTATTTATAAAACTAACCCCCACATAATTTTTTCAGGCCATACAGCAGATGAATTTTGATATATGAGTGTCACTTTGAAAAATGAATGAAGTTGGGTGCTAGATTTATAAATAATAATGTTTGTTTTGCTATGTATGTGATTGCCCTATTTTTATGATTTTAATTCAAAAATCATTTCGGTTTTTTCCGTTTAAAGTGATTTGATTGGATACCATATAGCCAAAATTACCTAAAAGCTGTTTATTCGAATCTTTTAGATCCAAGGGCTCCAGTTCAAACCCGCCCGAAAGTTTCTTCGATCTGACGGCTAATACCAAGCACAGATCCAGCTTTATTCCCGCCCTCAAACTCAACGGTTTTCGCCGACGATTGCCGTATGCAAAACACACGGAGAACAGTGGGACGACCGCCAATAGTGAGCGGCGCATGCGATTTCTATTGCATCACCGTAGATAATAGATCAAACGGTCAGTATCGAATTCTTTGTATGGGGGAATGCTGTTCCCATAGTTTAAAATCGAATTTTCAACTATGGGGTTTTAAATACTTTCCTTATAAATACCACCCCAACGCAGCTACGAAGCTTTCCTTTGTCTATCCCGACGTTTACGAGCTATCTGCAAAGTCATCGCCGCTGCTCGCCGTTCTTCCTCAGATTTCAAACAGGGGATCGCTTCTGAATCTTCTGTTTGGTAATGTGATTAGATTTATGTTATTTTTTTTCTTTCCGATCGATCTTTGTCGGTCATTTTCCAATCACAGGAAGAAACCCTAGAGATTTCCGTTGATTTAACATTCTGTTCTATGGTTGATATGGCAAATAGCGATCAGCATATGAGGGAATCAAGAACTTCTTATTTCCTTGTGATCTGCGCGGCCTCCGTGTTCCTTTAATCGTTGCAGGGTTGCCGGTGATTTAGCTAATTTTTTAATTTTTCCTTTTCATTTTTGATCCGAGGGATTGGAATTGGTTTACATGAACGAACTGGTTTGATTTGTGACAATGTGGTTGCAGAGTGCGTGGGCTTTGGATTTAATTGCTCTTAGAGCGAGGATGTCGTGGGTCCAGCGGGACCCTTCGGACAACGATAGGGAGCCATTTGTGGAGATGGATCCGACCGGAAGGTATGGTAGGTATGCAGACATCCTCGGCATCGGTGCTACCAAAAAGGTTTACAGAGGCTTCGATCAGGAGGATGGGATTGAGGTGGCTTGGAATCAAGTGACGCTGCGTAGTTTCAAAGAGGACTCGCAGATGCTTAATAGAATCTTCTCGGAGGTGCGACTTCTCCGGTCTCTGCGTCACGAGAACATTATCATGCTCTATAACGTGTGGACCGACGACGAAGCCGGGACTCTGAATTTTATAACGGAGGTATGCACTTCCGGTAATCTCAGAGAATACCGAAAAAAGCATTGTCATGTCTCCCTCAAGGCATTGAAGAAGTGGTGTCGCCAGATCCTTGTTGGTCTGGATTACCTCCATAAGCATGATCCTTGCATCATTCACCGGGATCTCAACTGCAGTAATGTGTTCATGAATGGGAACACCGGCGAGGTACGCACTGTACCGTCGTCGCATTCTTTCCCTCTTTATAAGTCACCGCATAAACACGGTTTTTGCCTTGACAACAGCTTTTCTTTTAATTTTGGGAGTTCGTTAAACTAGCATCCCCTTTTTATTTGTCTCGTGTTCTTGAACTAAAATTTTCCTTGGAAAGATTTTATTAGGTAAAATTTTCTTGCGGAATATTGATTCATTTCTGAGAATTTAATAAAATCTTAGTCTTATTTAAAATTAACGTTTATATTTTTTTATTTTATACTAGTTTTTTTTTTTTTTTTTTTTTTTTTTTTTTGTGAATTAAACATCTCTCGCCGAGTTTGTTGCACTTTTCGATTGGGAAGAAATATTCTCAGAAACCTCAACGCCTGCCTCCATCCGTTGCTCCATCAGCAAAATCATCACCTCTCACACACTCAAAGGCTGTTTATTGATTTATTTATTTTGCATAAATATTCATTTAGTAGCTTTGCTTTTATGAATTTTCATACATAATCTAAATTATATTGAGTAATCATGTTCCTAATAAGCACGATTCTCTAAAAAAGATACTAAACTAACTCCTCGTACCAGTAACTATTCAATTATAAATAGTGCAGCGCATTGAATGCAAATAGCACCTAAAAAAAGGTTAGACATTTATGAATTCTTATTAGAAAATACTTAATTTGGCCTTGCCGCAGGTGAAGATCGGTGACCTGGGCCTAGCTGCAGTTGTTGGCAACAGGCACTTGGCCCACTCAATCCTCGGTACGCCGGAGTTCATGGCGCCGGAGCTGTACGAGGAAGACTACACGGAGCAAGTGGATATTTACTCGTTCGGCATGTGCGTGCTAGAGATGATGACGAACGAAATACCCTACAGCGAGTGCGACTCCGTGCCCAAAATCTACCGCAAAGTCACCGCCGGCATTCGCCCAGCCTCCCTCAGTAAGGTACGCGACCACGAAATCCACTCCTTCATCGAACGGTGCCTCGGCAATCCCCGCTTCCGTCCCTCCGCCTCCGAGCTTCTCAAAGATCACTTCTTCGCCGGCCTCGAAGTCATGCCCACCGCCCCCCCACTTCCCTGGCCGCCCGCACGTGTTCCATCTGCTCACTCCGTTGACAAATCTGGCGAGCAGAAGGCGGCGGACCATTCGACGTCTTCAGCCACCGCCGGTCGTGCAGCCGCGACTATGCTTTAGTACTCCAGGTTTTGTTTGTTGATGATTTTATGGTTTTTTGATTCTTCAAGTCTTCATATGATCGAATAGGAATTTTTCAGGCGCCTTGTTTTTTTGATGGGCAATGATCAGTGCTATGCATCTGGTGGTAATTCGCATATGTTCTTGAAATATTAGATCAATATTACGTTGTGAATTATTTTTGTGTGTGTGTAGAAAACATAGTGAAGATGATATTTTGAGAAGAAAATAATTGAAATAGGTTTCAAATGATACTTAGATCAATAAAGTTTTTTTCTGAAGCTTCGGGTTCTTGAAATTTTAGGGGATATGATGATTATTTTTTATTTTTATTTTATTTTATTTTATTTTAATTTGAAATAAAGTATATTTCATCATTCATTCACTTAAAGTAGAGCTTTTGTTAAAAACACTCAAAATATTGGGGTCTGTTTGGGTTCTTTATTTATTTATTTTTCTTTATTTTTAAAAACAAAAAGCAGAAAATAAATAGAAAATAATGTTTGTTTGTCGGCGCGCACCACTCTATCAATTTTGATTGACCGCCACCTCATCTTGCAAAAAAAATTGAAATTTTAACCCTCAAATTATCATATGCTTCGATACTATTTTCTTATGTTGTGTCAGGTTGCAACGAGCGAACAAGATGTTAACAATAAAATACTTTTATCCCAAGCAAGTAAACAAAAGAGACCAATATGAGGCGAGCTAATATAAGACTGCCCTCTTGGGTGACTAAAATAATGACCCCTCAGAGTGACCAGCAAATAAAAGAGTGCCCTCCAATACGAACAGCCAAAAAACTTCCCTCTGAGTGAGCAAATAAAAAACTTCCCTCTCGGGCCGAGTAAAAAAAATATATCCTCCAAAACGGACAAAAAAAAAAAAAAAAAAAAAATTTTTCTTTTGGCTGACAAAGCAAGTCTCCTCTCCAAGGGCGAGAAGATGAAAAACTCCGGGATGAGAGAGCGACCGACGATCTATCCTAGCAAATGAAATGGGCAAAAACTAAAAATAGAGCTAGATAAAATTATGATCAACAATTTCCTCAGGAGCCATGTTGCCAACCCACACAACAAAAGTGAATACCTTAACACGATACCAATGAAAAAGTTCATTCGGTGAAAATTGCTTTTGAGCTAACGAGTGAGCTTAAAAGATGTCTGAATGGAGCGTAAAGAGCGCCTAAATAGATAGTAACGTCAGTAATTCATGTAATCATGTTTTTTTGATTAAATATTTTTTTTTCTCATTTGTAGCAGATGTTGTTATTTAGGAGTAAAATGATCGAGGAATTTAATATGTACAAAAAAAAAAAAAGATCAGCACGAATCTTGAGAGAATTTAAGTTTCTAAATAAAAAGATAGATGGCAAAAATAAGCAAAAAAAAAAAAAAAAAAAGGTTATTAATATGAAAAAAAACGAGCATTTACGTTATTACAATCCAATTCCCATGCAATTATACATATCCTCTAAATCTTTAACGTTACATAAAAAAAAATGTCATAATTATAATTTTAAAATATAAAATACGTAATTTCATGTTTAGGTAAAGGGGCATGTATGTAAAATTGAAGTTAGGTGTCACATAAATACATAGTAATTGAGTGGTATGAATGAAAATATTAAATAAGAAAATTGCATATGAAAAGAGCACTACATATAAAATTATTGGCGTCAAAATCAGGAATTGAGCACTTGAATATATTACTTAGTCATATTAGAAAAATATGGAGTATTGAATGCATTTATTAGTAAAATAAGAAAATTTCTGAGGAAAAAAAAAAGGATAAAACATTCTTATTAAATTTTAAAAATAATTACATAAAAACCCCCCAAAACAATGATATTTACAAATTAAACATTCGGGTGATTTCTTTTAACTACTTACACGAACCACAATCAAACAATGGAGAATTTGTTAAAATAAAGAATATGAGTTGAGATTTTTGCCATTAATTTTGACATTTGAGTGAGAATTTAAAAATTCGATGACAGAGAGTGATTGATTTGTAAATACCACCCTTCTGTTGATCTGTACATAGCTCCTACATTTTTAATATGTACAGCCAAGGAGCAAATCGACATACCACATCATCTTTATATATTTACATATCTAACCTCTTCACATTCAACTTTGGCACTCAAATTATTAACATGGCATAAAAAACAACACAATTTCAATACACTTTTGACGTATAAGTTTATAGCACTTGATACGTGCCGAAAGGCCTTATCGGTGGCGGCCAAACTTGGTCGTGACCAAAGTTGACTGGAGGTGATGACTGAAGTTGGCCCGCGGAGCTTGCTGAAGTTGACAGCGGTCTTAAAGAGTTGGCGCGCGGCAGCATCTGTTGGGGTTGGCTGGCTGACACCGGTTGCCAGAGTGTTAGGTATTCATCGAATCTGCGACGCGGAAGCAATGTTGAATTTAAGCCATTACTCGAAGCTTTTGTCTTCTTTTGGCTCAAGGTTTATAAATTAGGGGTTGCAAATAAGAAAAAAAAACTCAGACCACTCTTAGTCAGGGAAGATTCCATTGATTTGACTCTGTTCAGTGCACATTTAACTGCTTTATTGATATTAAAATTGAGAGATCTTTGGCTCGTTGGATTCTTCTTATCTAGACGCGCAATTTGACTATAAGCTTATCATATTCTAAATCTGTTTGATCTTTCAATTATACATGTAAAGAATCTAAAAGTGGTTTAATGGCTCGATCTGGGCTTGTTTTGACTCAGGTAAAACAAATTTTTGTATCATTGGATTTGTCTTGCCGAGCTGATTATGTTGACTATAAGTATATTGAAATCAGAGTTCTTGATGACTTTTACTTAAAATTTCAACGTTTCTTACTAAAAAATTACCTCAAAATATATATCATATCTCGAGACCCATGCAAAATGCTGGAATTTTTTTTTTATGGAGTATCAACACTAAAGTGTTATCATAAATGTAAATATCAATCTTTATGTGCCATATATGTAAATACATCAGAGGTGTGGTATGTATGTAAATTTCCTTCCATTTATTATTATTATTATTATTATTATTATTATTATTTAAAATCTAGCTCTTTAGAGTACTATTTTGACCTCATTAAAATTCGAATATTAAGAGCAATCATGATAAAATATAACTTGAAAGTTGTTGAAATAGTCAACATAGAGTTATTAAAAGTTAGGTCCCACCATAATATGGTACATGTTTGCCAGGGCTAGTTTTTTCCTTTTTGAGCAATTACAAATAATAGAGCACATTAATTTGGAAATTGAAAGTAGTTTAGACAATGTAAAATTTTGAAATTGTAAGGTGGTCTTTGTTAAATTACCCACATTTAGTTGGCAAGCATTATGTTAGTTTCTCCTTGTTCAACTATCTGCCATCACGCGACAACTAAACATGTTTCCCGTCTCAATCAAAACAGCTAAATAATAATAATAATAATAA